TATATTTCTCCAAGTAGTTGCGGTTGAAGGTTTTAGATTTTAGTAAGTACTATATTGCATAGCAATTTGTATACATTTATGTATTTATCATGTAATGGAGAATATTTCAGAAAATTATGTTTGTTACTAGTATTTGTTTGTGGCTCATATATTTAATTTTCATGAACTACATATTATATATTGAGCAGACAATTTCCAAATTATTACTTTTTTGAATTTTGAGCATATCATTTACTAATTACTACTGCCATAAACTACAAAGCAGGCATACTAATTACTCCAATATCTACCAAAAATATCATTTTTCTAACATGATACATAGTAAGCCTGGTATTTATATTTGGAAATTGGCTGAATACTAATTTAAGTCGTGCGCCAAGATAAATAAGTCAAGTAGGTGGAACTTTTTCACCACACCACACGATTCTGTTATGAACGTTTTTTCCACCCCTACCTCGAAGCAAAGAGGTTTCAAGATACTAAACTCTCCTAAAAAACAGTTCAAAATTAACGGGTAATAGCCACACTTGCCCAATCATAGCCACACATATAAGTTTCCTTTCATGTATCTCATCCAATTGAGATGGGTCATATTGACTCAATTCGCTAACGCCTCATATTTCTAATCATAAGTCACGACTTTACTTCCACGTTTCAAATTTTCCCATAGAGGAACTGCTTAGTGCGTCTTTCGTCGAGTATAACCATACAATTAAGAGAAGCAAAGGGACTGGTATTGTCTTGATACATTATATATTAGAGCTAACGACATTGTACGATGATATAAATGTATATTGGTTAATTTTGGATCCTAGCAAACATAGTCTATTAATTTCTATGATAAAATGTTCTATTTATTAAGTGAATTATTGGAGGTCCTTTGGTCGTAACTCGTAAGGATTAGGTGGATTATGCGTGCTTTTAACATTCTATATCTTAGTGTGAAAATGCCCGATTAAGTGCTTTAGTGGGAATGCAGAGTATTGATTGCTTGGTAGCCGTAAAAGCGGTCTCGAGAACCTTTGCTTGTCAGGTGCACATTCAAAAGGGAGTGTAATGTAAGTCAACTCTCTTTCAAGTTCTCATCGGTCGAGTAGAAAAAGAAAGCCAAAGCCACCCGATTTAGAATTTGGGGTCCGACAAGAACTATAATCTGAATAATATATCTCATAGGTTCATACATTATCCAAGTTAATCCAGGATCATAATATCCCAATTTCTAATCAAACGGACCCTAAAGGCATAAATACATACTCAATATAATCTCACATAGTAGGTTTGGAGAGGCATATATGGTATAGATAACAAAAAACTTTGATTATTTGGAAAGGTATATTTAATTTTGACTTTATGTAGACCACTTTTAATTATTAGAATAAAATTACTGATCATAATTCATAAATGATCACATCTAATTAATAACATGTTCACGATAGTAAACAAAAGAACCGGTGAAACATGATAATTTTACTATTTTTATGATGACCTTTATATTATTTAGCAAAAAATAGATGTTGTAGTGTTCAATAGACATAGCTGGACATATATAAAGAGCTCAATAAACATAAGTTGAACATGCATAAAATGTTCAATTTGGTGAAAAAATTAGTGTACAAGTTCAGGGTGCTTGTTTACATAACCTTATGGATGCACAAGTCATACTACTGAAAAACTACAGAAAGGCAAAAAACTGTATATTGTTTGTGTTGTAAGCACCCATATACGCAAACTGCCGGGAACCAAGGCAGCGAGCCTGGAAAGTGCATAGATGAATTATACGTTGATCTTTTTAAAGATTCCGAGCCACAGATATAGTCTTTTGTAGATAACATCATCGTTGTTTTCTTGATTTAATAGGCATCATTTATCTAGATTTAGGCATGATTATTTTAACGAAGAGAAACAATTTGTGAATAGTCAAATTTCTATTGTTACTACTTATGCCTTCATAAATATTGTGTTTTTGCTTTCCTTTAGCCAAGTGTCAAGTAACCTCTCTATCTCTCAAGATAACAAGACATTCACCATTACCCAGTGCTACTAGGAGTTCACTCTGTCCAATTTACCGTCGTCTGTCCATCAACATAAGTCATAAAACATAATCAATGCACATAATAGATCATCTCAATCATGTAAATTTAAACCTAAAATCTCATAATTTCCGACTTACTTAATATTACCCGCCTTATGTTTTGTATCCCTTGACATTCACTTATCCTTATATTAGGTCACATGCAATCATAAAATGTTTATTTATTTATTAGACGTATATTATTATTATTTTCATTATATAGAGAGAGAGAATTGAACCTATATATAAGTGGAGAAATGAGCTTGGCTTTATCATTACTTGAGATTCAATGTATCTAGACAGAATTTCAAGTTCATTGAACTAGTTCAATATTAGTATAGCAAAAATTATGTGAAAGAAAATGATAAATTAATTGCCATTTTAGTACAAGCATTACATCTTCAACTTTCCGCATCTACGCTCACTCTTGCGTAGGGGTGACAAATGGACGGATTGGATCAAATTAGTGCGGGTTGAAAATGAGTCAACATAAAATAGATAATAATTCAATCCGTCCATATTTCATATGAGTAAAAATGGATTGGGTAAAATACAAATTTATCCATATTTATTTATTTTTACATGAGTAAATAGTACTCACATAAGAATTTAATACGGAGAAAATATTTTAATCTTTTTTTTTTTTTTAAAAAATTTTAAAAAAACAATTTTTTATTT